TTCCCTGAATAGTTGTGTAAATGTAAAGTTAATGTCATGCCAATCTTATGAATTCATCTTTGACTGTTAATAGGTGAGAACGAATCTTATCAAGTAGGCAAACGATTGAAGTGAAGAGTGGTGCTTGTTACCAACTTGAAAGAAAAAAGTATGTTCTTCAGCCTTTCAATCTCCTCTGCGGCTCGGGTCATCCCCCTCCCACTCCCTCTCTCCTCGTCTTCTGTTGTTTATGTGTGAAAGTGCATCTGAGTATCATTGATATTTTGAAGAGTTTGTCACACTACTTTCCCCATTTTTTAATCGGTAGCATTCATGAATTGGTATGACTTCTACGATGGAATTGTTTAAGATCGTGAAATCAACTTCCTTCTCATCATTCCTACATCAACTTGAAACCTGTAAAGCCTTTTTTATATGGCTTTAGCAGCTTCACTGTTGGTATATCTCAAGGAAAAGAACGGAAGAAGTCTCCTGCCTCAATGCAGTGCCGCGGTTTCAATTCCACTTTCCTTTCTCAGCTTCGTTTTGTATACGTGATTTGTGATTGTGCCTGCCTGTTTCAGAATCAATCATGAAATACTTTACTCTTTGCTTGTGTTTCTGTTTTGTATTCGTATTCTTTTAGGGAGTTTAGGAAAATTCAATCGTCTTCTGAATTATAAACTTTCTTGTAGTAAAGCATAAAACATTTAACAAGTTTAATTGTTGACTCATACACCTCAAGTTTTAGAAGAAACATTCTAGCAAATCATCAGAACATAGCAGAAATACTATCTTCACTAGAAACCTCTGTTCCGAAAAAACACGGGAGGGTTTAAAAGAAACGTGGGTAGCAAGCTTAGGTACTTGAGGCATGAGAGTAGGCTGTGTGCAGAAAGTTTTAATTTAGATTGAAAGGAACTATAAGATCCACTGATGATTAGCTGATAGCAATAATTCTGCAGAAACAAGTTCTTCGATATCTTTACTGCCAAGCTTTCTACGATATTTGTTGGTTAACTTATGGAGTTTCAACGAAACTCCGTTTGTAGATTTTCTTGAACGTGGATGGGAAAGGGAGATTAATTTTGAACATGGGAACCTCTATGGATCATCAAGTTAGCACTCGAAAGTAGTCATTCTGCACTGGATCCTCCCTCGTCTTTTTCTTTATAGACGAGTTCAGAATGACTCTTTCGGAATGCCAATAACATTTCTCTATTCATCGTCGGATGAAGCGAGAAGCGATCATTCTCTTAGGTGCACACTATGTTTCTCTGTCATTGAACACAAAACCTTCATAATGCACGCCATTGGTAGCTAGATCACATATCTTCTCTTCATTTTTTCCTTTCTCACAAAGGGTTATTATATATATTGAAGAAAACTGGACCACATGGCTACTGAACTCCCTACCACACTGTGTTGGTAAATCTTTTTAGAACATTTCTGTTAGAAAAACTACAGCAAGTCCCTCAAAGTTGTTCTGCCAACACCACCAGTATTTTCCTGCACATCAAACCAAAAACAGTATGTTGATTTAGAAAGAAGCAACAATTGATCAAAAAATAAGGTTTCTGTTCGGTCTCAATGTACACAATGAGCAATCGATAAATGTCCGTGTTTTGCCCGGATTTACGTAATTTACAGACAATTGATGTTTGAATTTGAATGAATAATCCTCTAAATTCTAGTATTGAAGGTAGAGAAGAATGGTTTTTCGTCCTCCCTTCTAATACTACCATTTTTGGGCGGATTGGAATTGATAAGTTTTCTTTATGAACCTCTTACGAGGCATGATGCATTTTCCCACTGAACTTATACGAAATTGGTTTCTAGAAAAGGAGAATGTAAAAGAAAAGTCGTGGCGATAGTCTACACAGCAAAGAAGAAAATTCAAATTTGAGTGCATAAGGAGAGCATCTTGCTTTAGCTAACTTGATGAAGCCGAGATCGGCAGATGTTTAATGTGTCATGGGATCACTACGCTACTACATATATGCACAGCAAAATGTCTTAGTCTCTGCATGCTAAAGATTGTGAAATTAGTTATCAACTAGCAAATTTACGATCTCAGCAAATAATTAGATAAATTTAATCAGTTAAAATTCAAAAGAAAAAAAGTAGTGCATTCATAATTTTACCTGGTTTCTAATTTCCTTGTGGGAGTCGCACAGAGGAAGACCTCTTTCATCATAGAGAATAAGCCCACTGAATCTAGGAAGCTCACACTTCTCCCCCATAAGTATAGGTCTCTGCCACACAGGAGAGTCCGAGTTATGGCTCCGCCACCCCACTTCAACCTCAACCCTTTTGTCCAGCAGCGGCAGCGGCGTCTGTCTCCAGCTCCCGCCCCGCCTCTCCTCCCACTTGCTCCTTCTGCTCCACCGCACCGAGCTCACCAACGCTCTCGTTATCGACCCCCAACCACAACTCGGCTCAGACCATTTCGGTTGTCCTACTACAGCCTCTCGCTGGCTGCTCATCACAAGCTGCTGCTCCTGCTTCCTCTGAGCCTTCTTTAGCAAAACCGTCGCCGCCATGCAAAGACCGATGACTGCGAAGGCAGCGGAAACTAAGAGGAGAAATGCTTGTTGGGTTGAGATCTTCCACTTGTCTTCTAAATTCCACAAGGCTTCCATGGAATTCCCTTGTCTCCTTATATGGTGTGCAGCAGCAACAAGGTAAGTTAGATTCTTGATGGTTTTGTATGGGGAATATTTGGGAAGGTAGAAAAAGAATGATGATTTCTTATACGTAGAAGGTGCATGCAGTAATTCTGCATTAATGATAGTGTAGGGTCTACACGTGAAGGTCCACCGCCTGGCTGCAGGGCTTAGTTGCTCTATTTGGTTGAGTTTTTACGACCGTTGGGGAGTAAAGGCAGTCATGGGGTCTTCATGGTTGTTTTAAACCCTAATTAAACATCTCTCTCTCTCTCTCTCTCTCTCTCTCTCTCTCTCTCTCTCTACCGCTACTACTACTGACACGAGTGCAGGATATCAAACCGAGAGTGCGGATAATTTTGCTTTGAGAGAATAGAGGCAAAAGTGATAACCTTTCAAGTGTTCGTTGTGTATGTGTTTGATACGGTTGGATTCGTTGATAATTGTAGTCGAACTTGAGACTAATTGACGTAGCACAAGTGTATAAGGATTATAGGCGTAAATTCTTGAAGAATCGTTAATTTGGAATCCACCAGAAAATAGAGATAATCCCAAAAGGTTGTTTGTTTAATTGATGATTGAATAAGTACATTGAAACACTCAAAGGCTTTAAGTAGACTGATTACGACTTCTTGAACAACTTAAAGGACTCCAACAATTAAAATGACATTATTTGGACATTAATAAGATGACAACTCAAATGTTCGATTTTTATTACGAAAATTAAAATGCTATTTTGGAAGCTGAAATGATCTTAGATGGTCAAAATCCATCGTATGTCACAACAAAGCAATGTGTTTGACTCGTGTTGTTGTTCCCTTCCTGAAAATGTATCATGGGCCCAAATCGAAGCTTGTACACCAAATCCGCAAATTTCCATTGCGTCCTTTTGCCTTTCGATGGTTCATTTCCTCTTAAATCCATTTTGCCATCTGTTTTACATCACTAATTTACTTAGTAAATTTATCTTTAATTATATAAAATTTTGAAAGTCCTCGTCCAAACGCAAATGTAGGACTAATTGCCGTTATCATTTCCTTGGAAAGGATCCTCTTCGTATCTCTTACACCTAATCCACCAAGGCCATAAATTTAGGCCTTTGAAATTTGATTCTACGGCTAAAAATAGGAGTCTACTTTTAAAGTTATATATAATAACTTTAGCTGTTAGATTAAATTTCAAAGGCTCGAATTTGTGATTTTGGTGGATTAGATGAAAGAGATACAGAGAGAGAGGATCTCTTTCCCATTTCCTTGTCATAAAGAGATTTGACATTTCTTGGGTTGAATGTGACACGATGACCACAAGCAATGTTATGATGTGAGGACAATCAATGATAAAATAGGAAGCAAGGAATGTGGTTCCATCAACACTTGCACATGCATGCATTTAGATAGAAAAAAAAGGTATTGGAGTTGAATGTGTGTGCTTTAACGGGAGTAACTTATATAATACGGAACACTGTTATGTTAGTGTATTCGTGATATAAAGTCTTTCCGATTTTTAATAAACATGTGGTGGTCTAGATTATTTTGTTTTGTCGATTGGTGATTTATTCATTGAAGAGAAGTCAATAGCACACAACTTAGAAATCTTGCAAAATTAGGCAAGATGTTGAGAATAAGAGACCTGATATGAGTTTATAAATAAGTTAGCTACGCCCTATATTACCATTTAGTTTTATAGTAGAACTTCAATTTCTTCACAAGCAAAAGTAAAAAAAAAAAAAAAAAAAAAAAAAAAACCTAGTATACAGAGCACGACGCCACTCATGAATTATAAAAGATGAGCTAACACCTCGTTTGAAATTGCTTTTAAAATGACTGGAAACGCTTTTGATGAAATTAATTTTGGATTTCAAAAGCACTTAAAGTGCTTTTTGAAGAAGCACCATATATATACTTCTTACTGGAACACTTTCAAACAGCCTAAATGTGTTTTTCTAGAATCCACTTGAATTTTTATTAATGATTGATTTCAAAAACATTTTAAGCAAAAACACTTTCAATCATTTTAAAACACTTCCAAAACGAGTTTGAAAAAGTTGAATAGTTATGCTATTTCACTTGTAAGTGAAATACATTTAGATTCAACTAGCGTGAATAACAAATTTGACGTTAAATTATGGCTGACTCCTTGTGTCGGATTGATCTTGTTTTTGGACGGCTCCTAACTAAACATGCCATCCGTAAATGACTTGGGCCCAATGACCCATCACACAAAACTCGCATAGCATTTTTTGATCCTACAATCTAATGATATTTTTCGTAATTTGTAAGTAAGAACTATGACTACCAAATCCGAAGTCATTATTATGACAAACACTTTGCAAAGCCCACGGATTGATATTATCGTTTATTAAAAAAAAAAAATTAAAATATAAAAAAGAAAAAAAGAAAAAAGAAATTCTACTTCCAATTCCTCCTCCTTCTCCTTCACAAGACAGCCCAGCGAGGAAAATCTGACGTGCTAGGGTTTCTGAACCACTCCAAGCTCGTTCAGGGACGGAATCCATGCCCAGAAGCCACTCCGTACGACTCTCTTAGCCCTCTACCTTCCCAAAGGTTATTAATTTATACAATTTGCGCTTTTTTCCTACTGTTTCAACTACATTCGTCGAGTATCACTTTACCTTCCGCAGGATATAATTCCTTTTCTGTTTGGTTGGCGCAAAAAACGAAAATATGATTCGAATTTTTTGAACGTAATTATCCCAGTTGGTTTCAGTTCTGCTGGGTTGTAATAATTTTGGGAATTCTGATTTTTTTTTTAATTTCTTGTGTTTTCTTGGCAACCAAACGTAGGGTTAGGTAGATGGATGTGGATTAAATTGATGGATTATAATTCCGATTTTGTTTTAATATAGTTGAGTGAGTTAGAAGAAAGAGACTTGGTTAGAATTATGCTTTCAAATGTTTAAAATTTGAGGTTTCTAGCTGGGTTTTGATTGTTTGGCTGAACTTTTAAGGTTGATGGTGGCTGTGAGAAATAAGTTCGTAGTTGGTAGATAATTGAGATTAGTTTTGATGTCATTCAGGTTTGATTCTGAACGGGCTTGGTTGATATTTTTGAGAAGCGCATATTTTTATAGTTGAGTCTTTGAGTAAAAGAAAATCATGTCTGGAAGAAATCGTGGACCACCTCATGCTGGATTGCCCCCTCCGGTTCATGAATCTCCATATGGAAGAGGACTTGGGCCGATACCCCATCCAGCATTAGTCGAGGAAATGCGAGAATCTCAGCTTGGCATGGGTCCCAGACAACGTCCTCCCCACCCTGCAATAATAGAGGAGCATCTTGCGGCTCAACATCAAGATATACAAGGACTTCTAGGTGATAACCAAAGGCTGGCTGCAACCCATGTCGCACTTAAGCAGGAATTGGAGGCTGCCCAATTTGAGTTGCAGCGAATGGCTTACCATGTTGATTCACTGCGGGCAGACAAGGATGTTCAAATGAGAGATTTGTATGACAAGTCTGTTCGTTTGGAAGTGGACCTTCGTGGAGTTGAGGCCATGCGGAATGAACTTCTTCAGGTTCGTACTGATATCAAGGAGCTCACTGCTGCGAGGCAGGACCTCTCGGCTCAGGCACAAGCGATGACACAAGATTTGGCTAGAATGACTGCTGATTTGCAACAAGCACCAGCTTTGAGAGCAGAAATTGAAGCAATGAAACAGGAATTGCAACGTGCTAGGTAGATTTTGCATGATTTATTATTGTGCTTGAATTTAATTTTTATGTTTTGACTATAATCTATGGATTTGTTTTAACCATATGAGTTTTTGTTTGCATTTAGAGCTGCCATTGAGTATGAAAAGAAAGGATATGCAGAGAATTATGAGCATGGTCAGATCATGGAGAAGAATTTGACATCGATGGCTAGGGAGCTGGAGAAACTTCGTGCAGAAATTGCTAATACTGAGAAGAGAGCACGAGCTGCAGCTGCTGTTGGAAATCCAGGTATACATTGGAACTTTTTTAAATTGGTTGTCACAGTCACATTGAAGCCATATGCACAGATTGATGATAATTATATGTTATATGTTCTTTACTTGGAGCTTCACATGAAATTGCTGTGGGTTGTCTTTTAATTTTCTCTAAAGCTGTAGGTTATAATGCAAATTATGGCAATCTTGAAGCAGGATATGCAGGAAATCCCTATCCTGCCAACTATGGCATGAATCCTGTAAGTTTTGTTTCTTTCATGAATTCATAATAGGTGTTGTGTGTGTGCATGCCTGATTAAAGCATTGATGTTTTTGTTTGGTATGTGCCCGCGCAATAATGCATATCTGTGTAAACTGCTGGGCTATTATGCATGCATTATTTTCCTCTAAGTGAGGATATGTTTTCATTAGTTCCTCCCTCATTGTTCAGGTACATAGTGGTGCTGAAAATTTTCCTCAGTATGCTCCTATGCCCGGTTCGTCAGGTGCTTATGACATGCAGCGAGCTCAGGGACACAGATAAGCTAGTTCATCCATGATGCTGAGCCCCCATTCTGACTGGTATCTTGGCTGCAACGTATAAGATGCTTAGATCTGTGATTGAAGTGCTATCTGATAGTAGACATTTTGGAAATTTTCTTGTTTATTTGACCTTTAGTAACTGTACCTAATCACATCACAAATCATATTGCCTTGATGGTGCAGTAAAGTTTTCATAATTTGGTGTTCTTTGATGCACATATTGTACCATGTTCTCCAAAATGAATTTCATTATGATATCAATGCTCCGTTTCCTTAATATATAAACATTGCCAGCTGTTGTATATAGATAGCTGATAATATTTTCTGAATTTTGTTTGTACGTTTTTTGTGCTCTTCATATATCAGATGCTTGGTTTGTTAGGTCAGTTTGTTGAATTTTGTCCAGTTTGAAGCAAGAACATTGCTAGTGTTTTACAGTCCCTTGATTGTGAATTCGTGTCATTTACTTGTGAACTCTGTTATGTTAGCAAATATGGTTTATTAATACTCTTCCTATTTGTTGTTTAAGGTTAGTTTCTCTTTGCATCTTGTTTGCCCATATATATTAAGGCTAATTAGGTTTCTGCCCTAGAAGCTTTCTTGCTTGTGCACTTTGGATTACTGTAGTGTTAGGGGAGCAGTCCTGCTAGAAGAAATTTTACTAGAAGCACAACAATTTTTTATCAAAGTCCAAGTGCTTTTACAATCCTAAAGGACTGTTAAGTTTTCTGTTGAACATTTTCAGAATCACTTTTGGTTATTTGAAAGCATTCTTCCAAATGCTGTGCCAAACAGGCCCAGAATGTTTATCAGTTGATCTTTGATAATTGGTAGTACAACTTCTTCAATTCATATGAGGACTCAAGTTCTTTATCATTGTAGCTTGTCATTTCTTCTTTCATTATTATTATGGAAGCACTTGGTGAATTTGTTTTGTGCTAACCTATGATCAATGTATTTTTTATTTTTCTATACCTAGGGTTTCTTGTTCCCCTTTTGTATTAAGCAATATTGTTATTTTCCTGTCTGTTGACTTCGTACATCTTGTAATATTTGTCCATTCTGTTATATTATCGTTGCCTCATTTTCGCATCATAATGGTCATGCTAGCTTAGCTAGCTTAAAACTCAGGAAAGTTAACTTTTCATGGAATCATATAAAGGAAGAAAATATCACACAACCACACACATGAGAAGATAAACGCTCTAAAACTACTGTATTATTTTGTATAGCCCACATTAAATCAACATGGTGTGAATCAACTCTTCATGTTTATTTGGTGAGTTGGTTATGATTTTGATTTTAATGTTTGGAGATACCAGTTGTGGAGTTTTGGTTGTATTTGGCGAGACTCAGACTCTAATTACAAACAATTAGTCAGACATTTTTTTAATTCATGCAAAATTATTCAAAAGAGTAAGCTTTGTGGGATTGGTAATATCATTTTTAGTCCCAAAACAAGGAATAAGGAAGAATTCATTTTGAATCTGTAAAGGGTGTAGCAACATCAATTAATATTAGAACTGCATGTAAAAATTTCTTTGGATATTGGACTGAATACTCAAGGACAGACCATTAACTTATTATATTTCATAGATTTAATAGAAAATTGCCGTTTAAGATTTTGTTCGCCATTGTTTTACTGTTAGTGCTAATAACCAAATTTTTGCAGCAGTACATAAACAAACTTGTTAGCCATGGGCTGTATTTTAGTTTTGTTAGACATTGTTGGGTGGCTTATGTTGTAATTTGGGGGTCTCAAGTGAGTATGTTGGTTTCCATTGAGTTATGCTGCTCATGAGTGGAAGCGCTCCTCAAAATCACTTACAATCACCGGTCCAGGCTGGCTGTGAAGTTTGAATGAGCTGTAACCCCTTGCTTGATTTGTTATGTCCAGGAAACCTTTGCACCCAGGAAACTTGATTCTGTTTGGAAGTCAATTTTCACTGCTTATAATTTGAGTTAGATTCCTTGTATCTGTTTTCTTAGTGGAACAATTTAGTTAGTTTGTCGGCACGGCTAGGAAAATCTTAGTAAAGTGGTCCTTCTTTCTCTCTCTTCTATCTCCCCTCGTTCTCTTCGCTCATTGTGCATGGCATATGTGGAACAGTAAGTTTGTCGGCACGGCTAGGAAAATCTTAGTAAAGTGTTCCCTCTTTCTCTCTCCTCTCATTGTGCATGGCATATGTAAAGAGAGGTCTTCATTCTTCCCCTTCACTTTTGACTTATGGATTATAAGTTCTATAGTCATTCATTTATTTATTAAAACTATGGTGAGACAATTTGTGGGACAACGGGAGTCGACTGTTCAAGGCATAGATCTTTTAGTTGTGAACTTGTGAGAAAGTGCTCAATTTTTTGATGAGTTTTTTCAATGAGTTTAGTTCATGAGATGCTCTTAAGGAAACTTTCTTTCCGTATCTCGCTTCTTTTAGAACAACAACAGCATAAATGTAAGGAGCGTATTCATAGCATGAGGTATGCTGTTCATTGAGAAGACTTTCAACAATGGAGCTGCAGAATGAGTTTCCAGTCAAGTAAGTGATTTGAATTTCTGACTTTTCCCAGTCTTTGTTTGTTCTTCTATGTTTTTCTAAATATTCCCCTCTTAGTTGTTACCGCAAAATTGGGTTTTCTTTAGAACTGGACTCATAAGTTTTGTGTCCAAACCCCTTGTCAGTGGCATTTTTTAGGAAGTTCCTTGTGATCTGTGGTTGACGTAGTTTGGTGCTTGGTATCCTTGATCCTCTCTTTTACGTCTGTTGGGTCTTAGACTTCATGTCAATGGACTAATGTTTTAGACTTCCATGGTTGCACCTTGGCAGCACGTAGGATTTTATTCTCAGGATATTTTGTTTTGCATTGTTACTGTGATGGGCAAGCTCTGACTGATTTGTATTTCAGGTCTGCTATGTGTGTAGTTAATGTAAAGTTAATTAGAGCTTGCTTTCCTTCTTGACTGCAGTATTTTATATCATAATTTACTAGGAGCAGCAAGTAAAGCTGGATATAAAATTGGATAGTATTTTGGTAGAACAAAAGCCATTTTGGATACTTTGGATATCAAGTTTAGAATGAAAAGGCTTTACATTGAAGCATGAGGTACTCTTGTTACGAGCATAAGGGAATATAACCTCTTTTGGTTTAGGTATGCAAGGGTTGTAATGAAGCATCTGAGTTGTGGTGTACTATCGAGCTTAATGTCATCTGATGAGAATTTGAAATTACTGACTATGAAATTTTTTTAAAGTATTCATAGTCGGATTAGTCTAGGAGGAGCTGATGTTTTCGGTTGACAGCATTCTTTCTTTTCTTGGCAACATGAAATACATTGCCTCGGTTTGGACCATGAAACCCCCCTTGGTAGATTTACCACCAGCTCTCACCACAGAAACTTTATGCGCAACATTTAGTTTGTGTAGTGCGTTCCATTATGGAAATCACAACTTCATGATCTTAAAATGGTACATGATTTTTCTTTTAGCTTTTACTAGAGCACGGCACTGTTTGGAAGATTATATATGATTCAACTGCTTTATTTGGGTGTTATTTTATACATAGGACTAAAATAAATGCATAACCAACTTTCAGATGTATAACTTTTTATTTAGGTTCTTATGCTGATCTGATCTGATGGTTCAAGCCTTACGTCAGGGCTGCTTAGTTTTCTCTCTGCCTGATACACTAGTTCATCAATCTGATTATAGTGCCACCTAATTTTTTTCCTGTTTTTTGGGGAGGGTGACAGAGGCAGTGTGTAGCTAGTTTATGCGTACAAGTATGTTATACTCATTTTTGGAAGCTGTATATTGGAGCAGGGTTTAGCTGCATTTGGTACCCTATTGCATGACTTTTCTCGAGTGGAATGGAGATATGAATCCGTAACTAATGCTGTATCCTATTGAATTTGTGTTTAATCAAGTCTGTCTTTATGTCCTATTTTCTCTTGAGTTTTGTTCATGATCACTGGCCTCTCTTAGAAATTAGAATTGAGGAAATGCATACATGTTTATATGCTTATCTGGTCTCTGATATTCTTCATGTATGTCTTCATCTCCAGGTTCACAGCCTTTTGACCCTGCAAATCTGCTGCCTTCCACGTATGTCCAATGTTCTCTCTAGTTCTGCTCACGATTTCAAATCTGCTCATGAGGTATGTTTAGCCATTCAACTTTGCACCTTTGTTTTTTGGTTTATCATTTCGATACTACTGCTATTTTTGTTTTGTAATTAAACACAGAATACATTATAAATGAGGTAATAGTACCATTTTAGAATTTTTTTTTTTTTGAAAAAGAAGACGGATACATGATGTAATAAGCAAATTGGGAGGATACATTATAAGCTACAGTTGAAAATATTGAATGGGCTCATATGTGGTGATGCAAGATTGATACTCTTACTAAAGTGACTTGGAAAGTTAGAGCCATGATTCTAGAAATAGTTGTCACATAGGTTAATCTAATGAATTTCCAAAATAAGCTTATGAGAAGAGTGAAACTTTGCAGAGAGAACAAGGGATTAGGGTTTTAAAATCTGGATAAGGGTTTACTAAAAGGTGAAAGAGAATCTTTAATTAATATGCAATGGCTAACGGTGACAATTGATGATTAAACCTCATGGATACCTGTGTTTCAGATTAGACATACACGGATTTGTGGGGAGATTGTAAATGTTGTTGGCAAGAAAGAATCAGCTTGACTCTGGTGGTTCAAGTGGCTCTTGAGAATAGTGACATAGTTACTTTTGGTGCAGGTTTAATGAGAGAACTCAGGTTAAGGTTTTATGGGTCAGTTAGAGTCTACATTTTCAGAAGGAATAAAAAAATATAACCCAGGGGATTACTTCAATTCCTATGCCGCTTAATTTTAAGTTCCGTGACACAGTTCTCAAAGAAAGCTCAAGGGTTGCTGGAACCGTCTTGAATTGAATAATCCCCATATATGTTAGCAGTTAGATTAGACAAAGACAAGAAGAGAGGGAGTGATTGGAGGGGAGAGGTGAAAAAAGAGGAGACGCGGGTAAAAGTAGGGCTCCACCAACTTGGTTTGATTTTGTCTAAAATATTGGGCCCACAATCAAACATAAGTTCTCACAATGATCAATGACTCTTCACACATACACAAAAAGAATGTTGAATTACTCTTACAAGTCTCCATTGAAAAAATAAAAAGAGGAGACATTTCAGACAGTATATATGTGTACTAGGATATATTTAACTACCGAAAATTTATAAGCTGATTCATTTTATTTTCCTTATTAAGTACTTAATGTGTGGTTCAAACCAGTTCCCAATCTTCCTCTCCTTCGTTAAAAAACCATTGACGACTCAACTCCTTACTATCTGGATTGGTCATCTTCAATTTGTGGTAGAGGCCAAAAACCTTCCTTTTAGAGTCGTCAACCTAGTTCCTCTTATGGAAATGCCTTGTGAAAGCTTTACTGCGGACACAGTTGATGATCCATTTGGGCAGAGCAATTGATTGCTTCGTAATAACCCACTGAAATCCTTGTAGTAGTGTTTCAACCTAGTCTAGAAGTCTTGTGGACGCAGGTGTTGGAGTTTAGGAACACATTGAAAATCAAATAATTGTGTCCGAATTTGTGGGTCAATAAACATGATTCACAAGTGCTAACCATGTTTGGCTCGACATTATTTGCATTTTTACGTTTGTATGCAAACGTTTTTATGAATTTATTGCAAGTATTCAAAGAGTTCTGTTGTATGCAATTTATTTGATGAGTTGAATTATATTCTCAGGTGGTGATTTCTGTATTGCGGCACAAGCTAAAGGCAAGAATGGTTTGGTTCCCTGTTATCTTAATGCAACGAACAAACAACCAGGTGGTTCGATGTTATGATCGAATGTTGGCCGACCATAAATGGTATCCTCCTACGTACTACGTACTACTTTAATCAGAAGCCACCAGGCAAGATGTGAGAGTTGGCATAATTGGAAACAAAAATGATTTTTGCTCAACCGTTTGTAAGATACTAATGTTGTGTTTGGACGAGGGATTGTAGTAGTACCAAGGGATTTAGTAAGGACTGTAGAAGTGCACTGCAAAGCATTTGATTGATGCATTTGAAATGACTGCTAACAAGGAGCCATTTGAGGGTAGTCTTTCGGTCTCTAGGATTGGATTGGAAGGATAACTTTATATTTTTCAGGGTAAATTGAGGGTAGTCTTTTGCTGGGTATTATAAATCTCCTGGGTTTGTTTTGATATATTTACAAAGTTCCCTTTTCCCTGCATGCATTATTTTAGGTGGAAACTTACGAATACAAATTTCGGAATCGAGCCCAAGATGAAACGGAGTTGGATACATACCGTAGGTAATGTAGACGGGGTTGATACCGAACGTATAGGTAATGTGGTATATGGCAGCGGCGGTGGTGATTATGAGGGTGTTGGTGGCATAAATGGTGGTGGCTTCTGGAAAAGAGGTGGTGACGGTGGAAGTGGAAAGGAGGTGGTGGTGGTTGCTTTATTACACAAGGGAGAATGCATAAGAAACACAATAATGCTAAACAATGTCATAAAAACGTTCATTAAAGCTCTCCTCTACTTTTTATGATCTCAAATCAAACCAGACTCATTTTCTCTTTCAATACATTTTTCTTTAGCCCTTTTGCAATAATTTAAAAAAAAAAAAAACCAAGAAATACAAATAAAGAGACGTCGAAAAGGCAATAAAAACTGAAAACGACATAGTACCAATTTCAAGTGCCATCCGTTGTTGGAATGGAAGTGCCCCGTTACTTTAAGAGAATTCTAGATCTCGACTGCCATGTGCATGTTAGATGACGAAGAGCCGGTTGCAAAACACTGTAAACACCTGAAAGCGAAATCAGGTACTCACTAGCCGGAGAGGGAGAGGCAGAGGGAGAGGGAAAATGCAGTCGTCACTCTCGTATCCCCATGGAATCACAGGCTTCTTCAAATTCCAACCGAACCCCATTTCAAACCAATCGCCACTGACATCCAAATCATTCCCCTTCTCTCACTACACCAACACATCTCTTTCCTCCTCTTCTTCCATTCAACTAGTTCTAAGATCCCACTGCAACTCGCAGCCACAATTTCCCAGCAAACCCACTGGGCATCTACCCTCGAATCCCTTTTCACCGATACCAACAGCCAAGAACATACGATTACCACTAGCTCCGCTTCACTGCGGCATTTCGTCGAACAGCTCCAACGCAAATGCGACTAGGAGTTTCAGGGATTGGGTTGAACTGGTTGGTGAGGCTGTGTCGACTGCAATTCCGATTTGGGTTGCTTTGGGGTGCCTGTTGGGGCTCCTCAAGCCGAGCTCCTTCAATTGGGTCACACCCAACTACAACATCTTTGGTTTAACACTGACCATGCTCGGCATGGGTATGACCCTCACTTTTGCCGACCTTCGTGGCGCCTTGGCTATGCCCAAGGAGTTGCTTGCTGGCTTTGTTCTTCAGTACTCGGTCTGTAGCTCCACATTTCATATGTATAATAATGCTTATATTGTACATAATTGAATCGAATACTGAATGCCGTTCCCTACATTTTGTTTGATGCATATAGCTCTTTTGTTGTAGTAATTAGCCTTTGTGTTCATATCACATAAAATCGTTGATATTTGTATTAATTTTCCAGTTCAAGCCTTCAAGGAAATGTCTTTTTTTTTTTTTTTGGCGACTCCGAATATATAAATTTGTTTAGCACTCTTTACCCCTGCAGAGTTCATCCTCCTGTTATCTTAGGCTCCAGTGTCAACAACTTTGATCTTGCAAACATTTCTAACTCCATGTTGTTTTGTACTGGGGTTAAAAATTATGGTTATGTGTCCTTCGATCTGTTTAGGTGCAAATATGTAACATTTACTATTTAAATGGTTCAGGTGATGCCTTTATCAGGATATTTTGTGAGCAAGCTTTTGAATTTGCCATCGTATTATGCAGCTGGTTTGATATTGGTTGGTTGCTGCCCAGGTGGTATGTATCTGTGCCAGTCTTTTCGTAGATATCGTTGTTATGTTTACTCAATCTTCACCGCTCTTTCTGAATACAATTTTCCCCTGGTTAATTCTTTGCAGGAACAGCAAGTAACATTGTAACTTACATTGCACGGTACATGAATCATCTGAAATAGTATCAACTTGTCGTAATTGTCCCACCCCTTTATGTTGCCAGCCCCAACAGAGTGTTGGTGAGTTGGATGGGTATGTTATATTGAAAAAATATTACAGGATTGGCACACCTACATTTCACTTGCACCTTGCGTACAATCTTGCTGCTCAGACGAATAAGACCGAAAGGGATGTACTAAAACTTTCAAAAACTAGGGTGACAAAAGTTTACTTTACTTTTTTCCCCTCTCCTGGCCAGAGGATCTGATGACCTTGTTGTTTTTGCAGTGGAAATGTGGCACTTTCGGTTTTAATGACAGCAGCAAGCACTTTATCAGCCGTGGTTGGTAAACTGACATAAATTTCTTTTGATATTTTTTTTGTTCTTTAAGTGGTGTACTGGTATGGTCCGAATTTTTGCACATACATTGAAAACTGGTTAGAAAGATAAGTTTGAATCAAAATTTCTGCTAAAACTCGACAAAAAATTAAATTCTGATTAACATTCTGCAATATCTATTTCTTTTGCCTGTCAAAAGCTATGGGGAGCATCAAACTATGTCCCTTTGGAAACGATTCGTTAAATATGAATTATGAATAAAATTTTCCTTTGTTCGATTCTCAACCTAAAGTGATCTGCTGAAAGATCAGACCTTAACCCACCGTTTGGACATGGGAAATAAAATTGAAATTTGGACAAAAATCAGAATTTTTAAATTGAAATCACCAATTCCCTTGTTTGGATTTATAATCATAGAAATTTGGCTACCACTTACTATTACTAATGACTTAAATTATAAGCTTTTTTGAAGGAACCTTACTTCTTTTACCCTTTCATATTGTAGATCATGACCCCATTTCTCACAGCTAAACTTGCCGGCCAATATGTTGCAGTAGATGCAGCTGGGCTCTTATTCTCAACACTGCAGGTAAGCTTTCAATCGTTTTGCCTTCGTCTTGTTATAGCTGTTGCTGTTTTAAATTATGTAAAGGTACCGTATGCTTTGAACACAGGTTGTGCTTCTCCCTGTTTTGGCGGGTGCATTTCTGAATCAGTATTTCCAAGGCCTGGTTAAATTCGTCTCCCCCGTGATGCCACCCATTGCTGTAGCAACTGTAGGTGTTCTTTGTGGGAATGCAATTGCCCAGAGTTCATCTGCAATCCTTACTTCTGGTAAACAAGTGGTGCTTGCTTCCGCTCTTCTTCATGCAAGTGGATTTTTCTTTGGATACATCTTTTCAAGGATGCTTGGGCTTGATGTCACATCATCAAGGACTATCTCCATCGAGGTTGGCATGCAGGTAAGCATCATTGGGTTGTTTTTTTTCTTCTGGATTTTTTAAAAGAGAGTTTCACAGCTTTTCCACTGCTATTTACTTTCTAGTGAAAAGACATTGCATTCATTTATTCAATCGAAAAGACATTACAGTCAATTGTTAATTTCATTCTGTACCAAAGCCATATGATTTCTTGTATTGTGTGGGTGCGCACACGTGTGATGTGTGTGTATGTATGGTTGAAAGAATCCATGTCAATTTGTATGCGTTATCGGTTGTCTGCAAGTGTTGTTATCAGCTCTTTTATGTTTCAGAATTCAGTGCTCGGAATTGTTCTAGCCGGTCAGCACTTCGGAAACCCTCTAACTGCAGTACCATGTGCTGTTTCCAGCGTTTCTCATTCAATCTTGGGTAGTGCCTTGGCAGGATTCTGGAGACAGACCGTGCCAACCCAGAAGCAAGATTGAAATGTCATGTAACATCTTTAGACGAGCAGTACAAACTTCAATCCTTCTGTTATCGTATGAGCTGGCATTTGTCGGAATTTATTTTTGTACGTTTTAGCTGCGGAACAGTTGGATTTGCACTTTCCGGTGCTGGTCTCTGAATAAGTTGAACTATGTTATTTTACCTTTCAATGTGAATCCTTTGATTTTCGCTCTGGATTTTAACTTAATGTTTGACGTATTTGTTCATGCCTCAAAAGTCCTCCAATATTCTATGATTTCAAAGATAATAGCAAGCCAAAATTGCAAAAATATCTTCACCTATTCTGGCTTGCTCTGATTATCATTTCGTTTTCAGTTTTATTTTTGTTAGTTATGTATAGAGGGGGAATACGAAGGATAAAGGAGGGATAAGCAAAGATGGAGGAATGGCCGCGGGAGGTTAGGAAAGAGTAAACAAAATGAAAACTGAAAACTAAATCAATTTCTTGTAGGTTTTGTTTTTATTTGTTATTCTACGTGCAGTCCACCATTTCGATTCTTTATTTTTCCATATATATTCCCTCTATCTCGGACAAGAAAAGTTACAAATAGTCAAATCTAAAAGGAAGATTGAACTAGGAAACAAGAGAGGAGATACACTATGTTAATCAATTGGCTTAATTTACGTATACAAATCCAATTGGTTCGTCTTATATTTCAATTCAAATTCCTAATCCCTAATCCCAAATCAAAACCTCAAAACGTCTCCCAAACTTCTCAATCAATCACCCCCACCAAATCATTTCCACCAATTTTCATTCGAATAAGATCGTTTATTGTTTACTTATGCGAGAGATGTCTGATTTATGAATTTTTCATTCGGATCGGCAGGCCTTGCAGATGCTTATGTCTGTCCTCTAAGGCTCTAAGGATTTCTTCCAAATATTTAGATATGTGGTCTGCATTTTGAGTCCTACTATACATCAATGCATTATAAGTTGCTTAGATATTCCACTTGCTAGATATTTGTGGATTCTTGACCGCACATTCAGCTATTAAATTAATTAATATATGTTTGTACATGAATTTCTACATAGGTTAAAGGAAGACCCGAAAACTAGAAAACGAGGGATCTCTTTCATTTTCATGTATCGCACATTGGCATATGTATAATTGATTTGTAGCTTTCAGTTCCTGCATATGGTAGTAAGCATTAGGCAGTCAAAAGAAACAGCTGTAAATATTCTGTGCATATTGCATATTTTCCATGCAACTGCTTGTGCCTATTCAAGTTGGTTCTCTTCCTTCTCTAAGGCTGAATCATATGGCCTTGCTGCAATAAACTATTGACCACATGCCTTAACTTTTTCATCACAATTTGTGGCAGTTGTTAGGGTTTCTACGGAGGTCAAAGAAGATGTGGAGCCTATTGATGGAAAAG